GCACGGGGGGAGGGAGGTTTGACCCTGGGGCAGGCGCCCGCAGGGATTGGCCGCGCTGCGGGAGGGGAGGGGCCGGGCCACACTGAGCTGCAGAACAGGGGTTTGGCCCCGCCCCGGAAGGGGTGGGGGTTGCCCCTGGTGCAGGCTCCCCCGGGGGTTTGGCCCCGCCGTGGGAGGCGGGGGTTAGCCCCGGGACAGGCACGCTCGGGGTTTCCCTGCGCCACGGGGAGCCCGGAGAAGGCATGTGCTGGCTTCCCGCGGGGGGGAGGGGAGGGAGAGAAAATCCTGGGAGGAGGCAGATACAGGGGACTCTGCTGCCACTGGCACCCATCCCCAGCTACAGAACTCTGTCCCCATTCCCGTCCCCACTCCTGTCCCCATTCCCGTCCCCACTCCTGTCCCCATTCCCTGAACTCTGTCCTCTGCCCTCCCAGCACCCTGTTCCCTCTCCCCCGCCCCCATCCGCAGAACTGTCCCCACAAAATGTATAATTATAAATGCTTATTTTAGATTTAAATAGCATGAATAAAAAACAGACCATTTATTTCATAACTATAAACACGTGATTAATTTTAAATATCGCATAATTTAAAAATAAACTGTTTATCAGTGTGTAAGTAAGGGCTGGGGATAGCAAGTGATGGACAGGAGGAGAATAGAGAGGGCAGGGCTTCAAGGAAGGGGCGGGGCAGTAGATCTTTGCCTGTTCTGAGATTTAAAAAGTGATCTTCGGTGTAAAAAGGTTGGAGACCACTGGTCTAGACAGAGTTTGAATTTCTAATGCCTAGCCTAGAATGAGCCTCTAAAAAAATACTTGCATTTAATTTTACCCCCAAATGCTTAGTTATACATTTTATATACACAGTCCTATGCTTGGTGCATCATAGAGCCATGTATCTCAGAAGAGGAGCTCAAGGAGAAATCTGAATTCCTCCTGGTACTCACCAGTGCACAAGGGAAATGAACCTACAATCATACCCTTTCACATGTTGCATATTCTCCCTTGTGCATGAAAAGCAGAGCTACATATCACGAAGTATAATTTTTTTTTAATGTAACTAATAGCTGAACACCGTTTCGAATATTCTCAAATACATTTTTACAAATATCTGGTGGCCCAACATATTTAGTTACCTGGTGGAGGATGAATTATCCTACAATCTCTGTCCCATGGAGGGGATAGAGACCCAGTGTCTGAAGGTGCTCTGTGGGGATCAGATAACCTATCAGAGCTCAATTCCCCTCTTTCATTAGCTGCTTCATACATAGCAGGATTCCCTGCTCCTCTTGATCCTTATTAAAGAAATAAGATATTATGAAAATGTTAAAATAAACTGATGTTACAACAATCTTTATTAGCAGTCTAAATTCTAATAATAATAATAATAAGAGTAGAAAGGCCTTAAATATTTATCAGGTGAATTGTCATGACTCACCATAATTCTGCAACAGTTTAATTATGTTTACTGAAAGTATTTACTCTTTAAGCAAAAATTTTAAATAAAAACTTAATTCCTTAAAAGTTGGATCTACAATATATTCAGATTCCTCTTATAAGACTCTAAAAGGTTACCAGGTAAGCATTAGGCTTATCAGAATGCTTATAGATAATCATTTAAATTGACCGTGTCTTAATCCAACAGATTACCAACCATGCTAGGTTGGTGGGACCTCAGGCCCATGTCTGTACTGAAGCAGCCCAGACAGGCTGATGGAATCCTGCCCATGGCCACACCGGAGAGGCCCCAGCCCTAATCATAGGGGGCAGGCAGGCTTGGAGCACTCCCCACCCTGCCTGGCAAGTTGGATACCTGCTCCACAGAGGAAGCAGGACTGCAGCCCTGACAGAACCCCAGCCCCAACTAGGAGTAAGCGACTAGTCAACTATCCGATAAGCATATGCATATCGGATAGTTGACTAGCGACTCGAATAGTTGCTTCATCCCCCCTTTGCTGCCTCTATAAAAGAGAGGCAGCAAAGGGTGGGTACAGGAACTAGTGCTGGGGGGATTCAGCTTAAAAGCCGGTTCCCTCACAGTACCATCTCTGTGGGAGGCAGGGGAGGCACAGGCATAGCGGGGACCAGGCACAAGCAGGGCTCTTTAAATGTATTAAGAATCTAGCACCTTGTTTCTTAAACTGTGTTCCACGGAACACTAACAGGCGTGCTGTAGCCGTTTGAAAGAAAAAAAACAACAACCAGTAGCGAGAGCTGCTGAGACACAGCGGGTGGTGTGAAGAGGTAAGCAAGTGGTGACGCGGCTAAAAATGAGGCGGGGGCTACCTGCGTTCCTCCTCCTGTGCTTCCACATGAAGGGTGGAAGAGGCGAGCAAGTGATGATGCTGCAGGAAATGAGGCGGGGCTACCCGCATTCCTCACGTGCTTCTGCGCCCAGCTTGCAACTGCCTGGGAAAGCTCTGCGCCTCGGTTGCGCCCCTTGCCAGAGGGGAGGAGCGTTGCAGGGCCAGTAGAAGGGCCGGCTCTGATTGGCGGTCTCCACTGCTGGTCTGGGGATCCTGCCTGCCAGGGGAGAGAACCTAACGCTGCCACCCCGACGGGGTCTTTACACCACTATTTTTAGCCCTCGCAACCCATGCTTGATAAGGTATTGAATTTATAATTTCCACCAATATGAGTAAAGAGAATAAATTACATTTCCCTATAAAAAAGGCAGAAGTTTAGAAGGCTTCATAGAGCAGTGAGCAAATATTGTTGTCAGTAAAAGTGTTGTCTGGTGTTTCAAGGGGCAAGCTTCTTCCCCTTCTCCCCCAAAAAAATCTTTAGTGTTCCTCATTTAAAAAAAAAATTGTTTGGTGTTCCTCGATCTTAAAAAGTTTAAGAAACACTGACTTAGCTGCTCTTAATACATTTAAAAAGCACAGAGGGAGGAGGGGGAAAACTAGGTGCAAGCCAGGACACCTCATTCCTCAGGCCAGGTCCACACTCTTAATTCATTTAAGAGGCAGAGTGGGGCCAGGAGCTAACCCCACTGCAGCTCTGCAGTTTCCCCTCCCCAATCAACTAAGCAACGGAAATTCCATTGACTAGTCAATTAGCTGATTAAACACCATTTAACATCCCTAGCCCCAGCTTTCCTGCACCAGATTCCAATGGTTAACCAATTAAACAGTGTAATTTAACAGTTTATGGATTATACAGATACATCCCTGCAATTAACAGAGGAGAATGAAATTCAGAATAGAGATGTTTTGAAATTCAAGAACTGTACCTCTTCCTCCACCACCTGGAAGCATAGGTGAAAGTCTTAAAGGACCCTCCAGTAAGGTTGGTGGGGACAGGAAAGCTCTTGTTTCAGATGAAGGACGGCTCATTGGTGAGGGTCCATATGGTGAATGCTCTGGAACAGTTAAAATATTCAGTATTAAATCCAAATCTTGGGTCACAAATTAAATTAATTTGGTAGTTATGTGTTCTAGAATGAAAATACCATATGTCAAGCTTTCAGTCTAATCAAAGGCATTTGAGAAGTCTTTTTTAAAGATTAACTACCCAGTAGAAAAATGTTTAAGCAATCTAAATTGTATATAGCAAAATGCAGGACAATGTAGCACTTTAAAGACTAACAAGATGGTTTATTAGATGATGAGCTTTCGTGGGCCAGACCCACTTCCTCACATCAAATAGTGGAAGAAAGTAGTCACAACCATATATACCAAAGGATACAATTAAAAAAATGAACACATATGAAAAGGACAAATCACATTGCAGAACAGGAGGGGGATGCGGGGGTTCATATATGAATGGGAGGGGAGCTTCAGACCACCATCACTGCATAACCCAACTCTACCTTCCTTTATGTTACAATAAGAGGAAGTGGAACTATCTCACCCATTACCAAGATAGTTTCCCCAATTATCACCTCTAATACCATTAACTCACAAACATCCCACTCTCCCCACCTCTAATATCATCAATTCACAGACACTTACCTTCCTTCCTTCCTTCCCTCCCGCCCCCTCCCCCGGCATTCCCCTCCTGTTCTGCAATGTGATGTGTCCTTTTCATATGTGTTCATTTTTTTAATTGTATCCTTTGGTATATATGGTTGTGACTACTTTCTTCCACTATTTGATCTGAGGAAGTGGGTCTGGCCCACAAAAGCTCATCATCTAATAAACCATCTTGTTAGTCTTTAAAGTGCTACATTGTCCTGCATTTTGCTTCAGCTACCCCAGACTAACACGGCTACATTTCTATCACTATTCTAAATTGTATATACTCTGTGTAAGCTTTTTAAAAAAAAAATCAGTGATATTTGCATGCACACACAGATTACAGCTGGTCCCCGAGTTGCGAACGGTCGACTTACGACCATTCGCAGTTACGACCAAAAATGTTGTAAATGGCGGACCCCAAGTTATGAATGCGATCCGTGCTTATGAACAGCACGGTCGCATGTAACTCAATGGGGTCCAACTTACGAACAAATCAAGTTACGACCAATTGCTTGGTTCGAAACCGAGTAAGTCGGAGAGAGGCTGTATTGCTATGCTTATGAAGTCATGAATATGATGTTTTGGAGGGAAAAAAACACCATAACGCCACCTCCAAATGACACCAGAAGTATTTTACAAGCTGAAGAAATGAGTTAAAAAGAAAACTCTTCACTATACCTCTGCCAAATGATCTAACTGGGACATCAAGAGCATAAGGATCTTTTTCTAAAAGGTCAAATTTAAATTCCATTTCAGTTAATCTGTAAATATGGAAAGAACAAAAAAAGTCTTATTAACTTACAAAATATACCAGTTTCCTAGAAATCCATCATTCTCCACTAACATCTCTATTGTAATAGAAAATTAACCTAGAATTCCATTTCCTAAGTGGTATCAAATATATTACATTAGCTAGTTAAATAAAGGATAATTGTCAAACAAAAAACAATTTATCAATTTAAGTATTCCTCAAAATATACAACTACTTTTATACTGATATACTAAAAGGTAAACACTGTAATTCATATTAAAAATAGAACAAATGTTATAAGCCCGATCACATTATCCTCATTCACTTACTGTAAAACCTCATTTCAAGTATTTTTCAATGGTCTATTAAGTAAACAATACTCAATTTTAAAAATACAAAAACATTCAGTAATCAGCATTCCTGGTTACTACAGGAGGTCATTTAATAAATTCCTGGTACCTTTTCTCCTAAAATAGGTATTTAATTCCATATTTTTAACCAGATCTTACAGTTTGTGAACTCCTAAAATAGGTATTTAATTCCATATTTTTAACCAGATCTTACATTCACAAACTGTAATTCTCATAAAATGTCAACTGTCCCCTTCATTCATTACCAAAACAGAGCAATATTTTATCTAGCAATACCTATGCCAAGATGGATTAATGTTCTTTTTACCATTTTAACTGTGGAAAGGAGACTGAAGATGTACCATGCTACTAACAGTGTACAACCTGATTGTTGCTAGCACAATTTTACTGTAGTCAGGTGTGACTAAGAGATCACTCCTGCTCAGTCTAGACTCTCATCCCATTTCTACAAGTATCAGTCACTCATTTCCACCGTCCATCCATCATCACAGAACATTATTAAGACATGAAAGAACAACAGCACAAACTCATGCCCTCCTACAAACCTGTAGACTCCTTAGTTAAGGTGTTAAAGTGAAAATACATGAATGACCATGACACAATTAAGTACGCGCAATCTGAAACAATTTACCTACAGTCATTTGTAGCTTTGTCCGTTTTAGTTTTATGCTTTTCCTCTAGCACTTTCTGAAAAGAGCAAAATTACAGCTAAATTATACCATTCAGAATTTGTCCAGTACAGCACTTACTTTTGTCTGTTGTGTGCATTTTCTTTTCTCATATCATTGAGGTGTCTTTCAGCTGCTCTCGCTGTCAGCTTTAGGGAAAAAAAACTACTAAATAAAGTATTTCATAACTAGCGCACTTCCTGAATTTCTAGTAAGTATTTCTAACTGGTAATCTGAAGACCAGTTGCTCATACCACAAAAGTAGTCCATAAAGTGTAGGGGAATTTTCAGATTTACTTTTTAGGAAAGTAAAAATCAAAACGTAATATAATTAACCACCATCCACACAGGAAACAGACCAGATAACTTTGACTATATTTTTGCATATTACAGAGCTCAACTGAAACATCATTATCAGTATAAGTTATTAGCAGTTCCCCTGAAGTCATCAGTTAAAACATCACATAATAAGATTCAGTCTTACTGCAGCTTAAGCAGCTACACTCCACATTAGATGTTTGCAATATTTAAAAATAGTGCAAATCAAAGGAAGCCAAGAAGTTACTAAAATGCAAAACCAAATGTTTTAAACTGATTGTAATCTTGATAGAACATACATAAACTTAAAATAAGACCTCAAGTTAAAATTAACAAGATCCAATAATGTTAGGTGTTAATTTTAATGTATTCATAAGAACTGTACAATAACAAATAATGAAAAAAATTCTGAAGAGATTATTTGAAACTCATCCACTATTACTTATTTCTGAATCAAAGAAAGAGCAGGCAAATTAAAAAAAAATTAAAGTCTGTATAGAGAAGGGGTTGAAATATGGTCTTTTGTTCTTTTCTTGAATAAACACACTTTATCTTACAAAAAGCCAAACTATTCCCACAGTTACATTCACATATCTCTGACTTCAATGGAAGCTGCATGTATATTAATTGGCTAATTGAATAGTTGATGCACTTTGCATCTACTATTTGTTTAGCTGAGAAGGGAACCTCTGCCTTTGAAGTACAGCAACAGCCATGGGACTGCAATGTAGACATAGCCCAAGAGTCATGTTCTGTTGCAGTCATCAGTGAAAATGATTCGGGGGCTGGAGCGTGTGACCCACAAGGAGAGGCTGAGGGATTTGGGCTTATTAGTCTACAGAAGAGAAGAGCAAGGGGGGATTTGATAGCAGCCTTCCACTGAAGGGGGGAGAAGTGTCTAAAGTAGGGTTGTTTAAAAACTAGTTGACTATCCAATAAACATTTGCTTAGTAGATAGTCAACTAGTCATTCACATTGCTAATGTGAATACCCGAGGGCAGAATCCAAACTTACCTATCCTGACTCTTTGAGGCACATATTAAACTTGATCATGGGGACGGGGGGTGGGGGGAGTGGTTTTTTTTTTTTTTTTTTTTTATTAGTATGGCTACACCTGCTTTGGAAAGCTCAAAAATTATCAACATGCAAGTTTTAAGAGCTAAAGGAAGCTCCTATTTCAAAACCTGCAAAAAAAAGTATCATGCTAGGGCAGTATGGGGAATACCCTAGCATGAAGTTCCATTAATGTCAATAGGATTCTCTCCTGTGTAGGCCTCTTTGCAAGATTAGAATATTTATTAATAGTGACAGATTTTCATTTTCTTGTTTAAGAGGAGAGAAAAAAATGGAATTTGCAATAGCATTCTTACAAAAAATATCAATGGAACAAAGGTTGTCACAGGACAAAGTATCTTCTTCTACTAGATAAAACCAGTACAGTACAGCCAGATAATTTATTAAAATGTCATTGAAACAAGGCCCAAGAGTTTATTTATGAAACACTTAAACATTTGTTAAACATCTTATTCCGGTGGATTTATTTCTATAGCAAGTGATTTTTTTTAAACATTATTCTGGCAGAATTAAAGGGACTTTGGTTTAATTACTACAGCTAGTTTATCTATTTGTTAAATTTCTTGTTAGTAGATTTCTGAATGTTAAGTCTTCAAGTTTTTTTTAATCTATAAATATCCCACTAAAATCAAGGTATAATGCAGTCTGTTTAGACAGTTTGAAGAGCAGTGTAATTTTTTTTATGACAGAGTTTGAGAAACTTTAGTAGTTGGAACTTACCCAATTATCATGAGCTTTTTTTTCATGTGAAGTAATCTATTGAGAGATATTCATTAGAACACCTTTGAAATGTTATTCTCCTGATACAAAGCAATAAATTAAAACTTCAAGGCTCTTTTCTGATCCAACAGTTTTGTAAGATGTTCAGTTACATTAACCAGCCACCAGAATTTAAACGGAACAGTTACGCCCATATTCAAAAATACCACCTACTTGGTAGTCTTTCCTAATTGTAATTTATATCAAGGTATTTCTGATGACATTAGCCAAATAAAGCCATATACAGTATTGCAAACAGCTGTAAGTGGTAGTTTCAAGTTGAAAGTTAATTGTATTATTCCTGAGTATGGCAAAATGCTAGCTAAGTCAACATATAATATATACCTGACTCTGGTAAGAATGAATGGTTCTGTCTAGCTCTTCTTCAAGATCTTTTGCTCGCTGTCTGTAATAAAAATGTTAGCAAAAATTTTAAATATGAATACCACCAGAAATAGTTACACTGCGAATAATTCAGAGTTTATACCCAAACACTACGGTCATCTATGACCAAAGACTACTTAAAGGATAAATAAAAACAAAGGATGAGGCATACCTGGGAGGTCGACAAATGCCTTTGATGTCGACCGCGGAGCGTCCAGACTACCGCGCTGAGCCGACAAACAGCTGATCGGCTCAGCACGGCAACCGTGTAAATTTAAATGAAGCGGCAATTATTTAAATCGCCGCTTCATTTTCCTATGCCGGGTAGTCTAATCTACATGCGCCTCTGTTGCCAGAGGCATGTAGTCACAGACGTACCCTTAGTGTTGTGTGTATTAAGGTGACCAGACATCCTCCTTTGAGGAGGACAGTCCTCCTTTTGAGGGGCTTGTCCTCCCCAATAATTATTTCCTCCTTTGAAAAAAACTGTCCTTCTTGTTCTACTTTGCCAAAAAAAATATATCCTGCTGTTTTTTAAAGTATCATTATACTGCAATTGAACCCTGTTAAAAGGCTTAATATACAGTAAAAGTACACTTAGAGGCTATTTATTAAATGTTATTGTTTATTTTGAGACAATTTAACGTCAATGTGATTTTTTAGTTGACACAATTAACCCTAAAAATGTCAAAGAAAAGAAAATGCCATTTCAACAAGAATTTAAAAAAGAAATTTCCTTTCATCAGAATTGTGGATGAAACAAGAGATGATTCACTAGTGAAGCGTACTGTCTGTTCGGTGGAATTCAGTGTGGCGATAGGTGGCCAATCCAGCATAACAAAGCATGTTTCAAACAAACAAACATACATCAAAATTCTTTAACATCGGCATCAATGTCCCAGAAAGTTACAGACTTCTTAGGAAGTACATAATTTGGAGAAGACAAAAAGAATTTAGCAGCTGCCGAAGGTCTGACTGCGTACTACACTGTGATACACAATCAAAGTTTTCGGAGCATGGACTGTACGTCAAAACTGAATAGAGTACTTTATAATAAAAAATTCCATTGTGCCAGAACTAAAGGAGAGGCTATTATTCGCAACGTTTTTCAAACTTAAAATTTGAAGAAAGATTAAATGAAGCTAAATTTTGTTACACTTCTTTCAGATGCTTCAAACCACAAAGATACAAAGTTATATCCAGTGTTAGTTCGTTATTTCAGTTTTGAAAATGGTATTCAAATCAAAGTTTTGAATATGGAAGCAATTGATGGTGAGACAATTGAAATAATATCCAATCATATCAAAAAATGAGTGGACAATCATAATTTGAACGATAAAGTTATTGCTGTGTGTGCCGATAACACAAATACTAATTTTGGCGGTGTAAATCGCAAAGGTGATAAAAATGTTAAGAAAATGATGCATTTACTTGGGAAAACGATTATTGGAATCGGTTGTAATGCCCATATTGTATCTAATGCCATCAATACAGCATCAAGCTTAATGTCCATCGATGTTGAAGTTGTGATAACTCACATTTATTTACATTTTGAACGATTCACTGTAAGCGTTACATCATTAAAGACTTTTTGCGAAGAAGCCTCAGTTGAATATAAAAAACTGTTGGGATATTCGAAAACAAGATGGTTAGCTTTAATGCCAGCCATTGAATGAGTGCTGCAATTGTTCGAGCCTTTAAAATCATATTTTCTAAGTTTGTCCACTGATCTTGAACAACTTTTTAAAGAATGAATCTGCTGACGTAACTCTGTATTTTGTTCACAATCAAGCAACTTTGTTCCAGTCAGTTATAAAAAGTATTGAAAAAGAGCATAACATGTCTACAGAAGTGGGATTGCATATTAAACAATTAAAGGAGCAGCTTCAATCACGTCTTGAGTCCAACTTCCTTCCATTGGTTGTAATTACTAATTTAAACAAATTACAAGAGAGCAATCCAGGAATAAAGAATTTACGAGGGAGGCAATGAGCTTTTATAAAAATGTTCTTGAATATCTAGAAAATCGGACTAAGCGTGACAAACCAGTGTACGTGTTTGATTGGATTCTGCTGAATGAAGAAATTCAATGGAATAAAATCCTTGAAACAGTTTTATTCGTTAAAGAAAAATTTAGCACCATAATAAATTACAATTTATTGTTCGACGAAGTACGAAGAATTAACAATATAATAAGAGAATGGACTGAACGCGAAATTGATAAAAAATGGATCAAGATTTTTAATTTCTTAAAAGAGTGACAAATATTGATGTTTTTAATGTTATATGATTGTTTTTGTTAAGTCTGTTTGTCTTATAAGACGACTAATATCGTGATAATTTATTTATATGATTATTTATATAGTTATACAAGTATGTTATTTTTGTCAAATCAGTGTCCTCACACATTTTCAAATTCTGGTCACCTTATGTGCATGTATCATTGCACAAGCACATACACAAAGAAGATTTCTATAAACTAGCATACAGAAAGAAAGCATCGAAATTGAAAAGAATGACAGCACACATTCCATAACAATGCATTATAATTAGTAAATTTACTAATTCTCTAGTGGATTTTATAATCTTTAGGGCAAACACCAACCAAAAAAAAAAAGTAAGTACCTGTAACTATTTAGTTCTTCAGCAGCATGATTAATTTTCTCATCTACTTTAGAGAGTTTTTCTTCTTTCTGTAACCTCTCTCTCTCTTCTACTGTTAGTTTCCTTTAACACAGAGACAGTATGATTAGCTGAAACTCAAATAATAGTTTTGTAGTTATTCTCTCTGAAGAGAGAGATTTAGTGTGATGTTCACTCAGACTGGCAGAAAGAAGTTGTGGTATACCATGCTTTTTTAAATTTTATATAGCTCTTTATTCTTTAATTATGAAAATCTGGAACAGTAACGCAATACCAAGACTAATCACTGCACTCAAATAACTTGCAAATTATACACTGATAATTAGGACAACTATATTTGAGAAAGTAAACCTTCCTTAATGTCTCAGCATTAAGTTCTGATTTTTTTTAGGTGAAAAATAACGTACACTATTTTTCAGTGATGATATTCTTTCTCCCATTCACACAAACAATGCTTTTACATAATTGCAGCATAGAACAAAGGGTACTTCTAGCCACTTTAGCTAGCAAAGTCTCAAAGTCTTTCAACATTAAACATCTTTCTATCTATTACAAGACTTCACCTAATACTGACATCCCTATGCATTACAGTATTCGATCCCTTCATTTTAACACCAGAACATGCTAACTTTAAACAGAGCTGGAGCTAAGTTAATAAATCTGCCTTGTGCTTGTCTGAGGCCTACATCTTGTAGTCAAAATCTTATCCAGTAAAACTCCAGTGGTCCGGCACTCCCAAAAGTCTGGCACCAACTGGAACCCAGCAGTGCGTCGGCCAGCTGGACAATTGGAGTTGCTCTGCGCTGCTTTCTCAAGTCCACTTCTGAAACTAACCAGCGGCGGACTTGGGGAAGCCATGGGGCAGAGCAGCTGGGGTGCTGCCGGGTTGGTCCCACAGCGCCACCCCTGAGCAAGAATCAATGCACACAAATCAGACATCGGACAGTTTCACAAAGAAAAACGTTTCTTGTAATTTCAACCAGACTGGGCATTGTCTCAATGACCTAACCACATGTGCTTCAAAAAGACTAACACCAGACTACAAAGGGAAACCTCAGAATTGTCATTCATGCTTAAATTTGACACTTTACGAATGGGCCTTAACAGAGATGCTAACTACGTTACCCATTACAAAGATAGCTTGCCCAATTATCACCCCTAATAGCATTATCTCATAGGGTGTGTCTAGACTACATGCCTCCTTCGACGGAGGCATGTAGATTAGCCAGATCGGAAAAGGGAAATGAAGCCGCGATTAAAATAATCGCGGCTTCATTTAAATTTAAATGGCTGGGGCCCGCCCC